AAAAAAAAAACTCACATCAGCTCCCGTTGATAATATGGGTGCACCTAATATTGCATTAATGGCGGTGCTCTTGCCGACTCCAGTCCTTCCAATGAACGCAAGCTTCCTTAACCGAGGCATACTATCACCAAGCTTCTTTGCCTCTACCTTCCACTTCCCCAATCCCAGGTCCTTGTAATAATCCTGTCGTCCGATGATCTCGAGCTCCACCTCCAACCTCTTATTTGTGCTACAGATAGTATCATAGCATTGTTGTAAGTCTTGTGGTAACGAGTCACCGTGACATGAATCTGTCATAGACACAGAATCGCATGCTTCAAGATCTGAATCCATCGGGGAATCCAATGGTTGTGGGTTTGTTGAAGAGTTGAATTGAAGTATCGAAGTCCCTCATCCGCACAAGTTGCGCGAGGCCTCATGCCATGATGCGCTGGCCCCCCATGGCTTCCCTGACACATCAAGCAACCATCGATTGCACGATGCACAGATACTGTCAAATCCAAAGACCAAACTTCTCATTCGCGACGCACATGCTTCTTGAAACCTGAAACTTCGACACATGAACGAATTAACTCCGACGGTCAAGTGCTTGGATCCGACTTATCCACAGCAGGGTGCATTGTCGAGTCTGGGGTACGGTCCTATCATTTTGTCCTGGATGTGCAGAGCTTGAATGTCCTATTGCCACTACGAAGATGTCCATGGTGCAGGTCAGCAGGTTTCGATCCTGCGCAGTCTAAGAGAAACAGATTTTGATTATGTTGCGGCAATTACTGGCTAAGACCGATTGCGGTGAAGTTGTCAAGAAACCATCCATGAGTGAATGTCAAGGTGTGTTCCGATATAAAAAAAACCATAGTTCAGCAGGTTTCGATCCTGCGCAGTCTAAGAGAAACAGATTTTGATTCTGTTGTGGTATCAACCAAGTTAAAGCCAGTTACGGTGAACTCTCAAAGAAACCATCATGAGTGAATGTGAAGATGGAAGTTTCGTCTTCCCATAAAAACGGTGGCCATGTAGCAATCCAGTTCATCCCAAACACAGCAACGCAACCGAACTCGATATCGGTGTGAGCGCACGGCAATGAATCGCTAAGGTCATAGGGATTTCAGCGAAACGCGAACTTGGGCCTAAATGGCCAAGCGAACGAGCAATCGAAGAATACGGAAGAATACGATTCAAGGTCAAAAGCAACAGACACGCCGGGAAGACGATCGATTTGAATGGGGTCCCGGTGGTAAAACACGATATAACCTACTCCCTTATGATAGCGGGAATAAATTTACATGTCACATTAGAATGGTCGCACAGGTGTTCGGAGGCCATTACAGGAAGGTTCTGAGAAGTGAAAGCCTTGGAAGTAGAGCACGGTATCCTGGCTTTCCATGCTCTGGTGAATTGATGGTTGGTTGAATTCTCAGGTGGCGGTCTATCTGTCCAGTTAGGAACCAGGATAAGCAACTTCGAAACGACGTTCTAATCCCATGGCTGATTCCAATTAGTCATGGGCCAGAAGTCCGGTATCACGTGACCGACGCGTCTCGTTCGTCGCGCTCTGTGGATTCTGCAATCCGGATCAATCGTCCTCTTGTATTTATCATCCAACTTGTCACACTAGGAAAAGTTCTACAACTCTGTACTCCCTCATTCGAACACAGGCAACCACTCCTTGAAAATCAATCAGTGATATTTTTACAACCCGACTAACATGCTTGCCTTGGTCACCACGACAGCCCTCGCGTTGGCCTCTCCTGTAACCCTAAAGAACCCTCCATCTTTACTTCCGATTACCCAATCTCTTTCATCTCAATATTTCGCATCAGCATGGTCCCCCGATAACGCATATCTCTATCTTGCCTCTCCCTTTAGCATCGATCGCTTCATAATCTCGCAAAGCCGATTAGACGAGGCCATATACGTGCAATCCGAGGAAGAAGGCGAGATAAACGCTATGGCAGTAACGCCCTCAGGAAATATAGTACTGGGCGCCGGGAAGAAGGTGATCGTGCTGGAACACACAGCCGGATCTGCAAAAATGCTCAAAACGTTCGAATCCCATGGGACGACGGTCACCGCGCTGGCTGTCTCAAATGACAGCACGCTCGTCGCTTCCGCTTCTTCAAAAGGCGTGCATATCCACGATTTGCTCGTTTCTGCGAAACATACGCATACGTCTCTCCCCCTCCCTGCAGGTGCTCTGCGGTCTGTGAGCACTATGACGTTCCATTCTCATGTTCGGACTCGCTTGCTTCTTGGTCTTGGACATGATTTATTTGTTTATGATGTGGACAAGCCTTCTGCTTCTGTGAAACCTATTAGCATTGGACGGAAAGTGGTGGGCATTGCGTGTAGCCCGTTTAGCAAAACGCTGGTTGCTGTTGCAAGCACGGATCACGTCGGCCTTGTTGATTTGGATAAGGATAAGGGGTGCGTATACGCGTATTGTATTTTATTGAATACTAACTCTCTGAGCATAGGTTATTCAAGACAGTCTTGTCCCCGCAGCTCATTACCTCGATCACATTTTCACCTGAGGGTGCATCCATCTATCTCGGCGTGCGGGATGGACTGAGGATTCTCAATCTCAGAGAACTGGACAAGGAGATGAAGAGAGTTTATGTGGGCGAGGCTGGACAAGGAGTAGTATGTCTCACTGTTCAGGTATGCATAGTTGGGACACCATTCGTTAGTATTCCTAATCTAACGAGACAAGCAGAAAAGACTGAAAACATCTGCGTCTGCTGTTAAACCACGTGTTTCCAATCCATCAGCAAGCTCCTCTCCTGCACGTGCTCGCGCAAAAGCCGCTTCAAATGCTCGCTCTCCCCTCCGACCTGTGACAGCTGCCGTACCGAGAAAGAATGGGATATTGTCAATCAGGACATCCATTTCCGGGACCCCTACGAAGCAGGATGTTCTAGAGACCGATACGCCGACTAGGCGTGTCTCGAACCGAGGTGCTTTCTCGCCATTGAGGAATCCTATATCACCGTTGCGTGGTGGCAGAGGCACCGACAGTAGTTCTGGTGGGTTGTCTTTTATGAAGCCTACATGTAAAGAACATTAACACGTGTCTCAAAAACTAGCGACTGGCGTGCTGCGCACTAGGGTGTCTACATCACAGGAAAATATCTTTGATGATGCGAGCGACACCGCAAGGCGATCGAGTGCACGCACGGCATCTTCCCAAAAATCAGGGGTATCGAGTATTCACCCTGGTGATTCGATTTCCGCTAGACTGGCCTCTTTGCGTACAGGTAAAACGAGAGAGACTAGGGTTGCTTCCGGATCGTCTGCTCGTTCCGAGATTACGAGAGCATCGTCGAATTCAAGTGTTGGCACGAAAACCAGAGGGTCTTCGCTGAAGCGCGCCCCATCGACATTATCGATCTCTTCATCGAAGACGAGGGACAGCGCTCGCTCAAAGACGCCTACCAATGAAGACGAGGATGCACGCACAGATTTATCGTCTCCGGATTTGCCGATAGACTCCGTGACCCCCGTGTCCGATATGAAGAGACAGTCGGCAAGAATAGCAGTCGAAGCCAAGAAACCGACGGTAAGAACAAGTGCGGGGAGGACGAGTACAAAGACGGGGAGCACAGGTCTTCGTGTTATCAACACTGCAAGGTCCAGGGGAAGCAAAAATAAAGGAAAAGAGAAAGAGGTCGATGTGGATGCGGAAAATGCCGACACATGCGAGGAGTTGGACGCAGTGGAAGAAGATGAAGAAGAGGCGCAAATGACCCATGAGCGGGAGCTCTTGATGCAAGTTTCCCCTCGCCCCTCTGCAGCACAGACCTATGTTCCATCACCACTCCGGCGAACGTCAGGCACCTTCTCTATGCAATCTGGTGCAAGCAGTGCGTACGAGCTCTTCCGGGGACTCATTGCGGATATGCAAGCCAAGAACCACGCGGACATGAAAGCGCTGCACGTTGACATGCTGCGAATGGGGCGTGGACTTCGGCAGGAGATGGATGAGTGGGGAGGGGAGATGAAAAAGTTGAGGGAGGAGAATGAGAGGTTGCGGGAAGAAAACGATAGGCTGAGGAGAGGGTACTGAGGATCCCTCGTGTTATTTCTTGGGGAGATGGACGGATGTATTGGTTTGTGTTATTTCGACATGATACATAAGTTATTGTAGCCAGTAGAGTGTTGTATGATCTCCAGTGCCGGCTCTCTCCAATCCATCGATGTGCCCCGATCGGGTCCTGTATGTCTAGAGGAATCATGCATAGCGTGTCGTACGAACCAACTGGGCCTACGAATACGAAATGTGAGTACTTGTCTTCGGGCACAGACAAACTCCGCATCCTGCACGCACACGAGATGACAGCTTTCGGTCCAATTACGTCCATTGAGGGCAACCAATCTGCGGACCGGGGGCAAATGACATGTTGGCCTTGGCGTATCCAATGTACTTCGGCGCAAACCTCTTTCCCCTGAATTCCGGGGATGAACCGCCCGCATCCGCGATCTCCACTGCGATATTAATCGATATTTGACTAAGTTACAGTGACCGACGATAAAAAGGATGACTTCCGCCTCGCATGTGCTGATTTGAGTTATAATGGATCCTGTAACGGGACAGAGAGCTAAAAGCCTGCCAGATTGATTCTGACAAAGGCGATCGCTAGACTCACGTACCAAGGGATTGCTTCAAAGGGTTATATTTGGGCATAGCGGCACTCATCCCTTTTGCAGTGATTCATCCTTTGAAGACATCGGGTAAGATAACTAGTAAGCTAAGAGTGATTTGCATTTTACCGTGATCTCGTCTAATTCCTGGCGTTCTGGAAGGCATCGCTTGAGCATTGACACAAAGATCTCCGAGTCGGACTCATGTCGTGCGTTTGGGGTGGGAGCCGCAAATGACCATCTGCTGGTCGCAGTGGAATTCACCGATTTACAACCCAAAACTTAATTTTGGCCGGCACAGGATATAGGAGGGTTGGGTTTTACTGCATCCAACAGGAGCCCTGTGATAGCCAAAATTAGGGCAGGACTAGGACCTAGGACTTCCCAACTCCATTAGGGACGTCTTAACCACTAGACTATCCGGCCATCGAAGTTTAACTTACTGTGTGTGTGTAGTTTACAACATGTAGAGTTGACCATATTGTCCAAGCAGTCTGACCCTCCTTAGTGCCTGCTGCGGGCACTAATCTTCTAGGATAAAGTCTGTAAACTGGGCCAAAGGGAGGCTAGTAGAACAGAAAAGTAGCAGTTTTGAGCCTAGATCTACTGCGGCACTTCTTGGGGGAAATATTCCAAAAAGTCTTTTGCAGTGATTTATCCTTCGAAAACACTGGGTAAGAGAATCAATTTCTTTTTGGTGCGTGAGCCTAGAACGGTAGAAATACAAAGTGTAGTCCCTAAGTTTAATTCCAATCATCGGGCCTCGTGGAAATACATCAAACGCTGGCGTTATAGAAGCAAGTAGGGCACGCTTGGCCGTTGACACAAACCATCTGAATCAGTGAGCGGTCATTCGTCATGGATTTAACGGAGTATGATATATGAAGAACCTAATAAAGCACCTGAAACCCACGTGATCGCGATACTGTTGGCATCGACACGCCCAAAACACGCTTTATGATATTCAGATCAACCCCCACAATGACCCCAAGTTCACCAAAAGCGGCCTCAGTCAGTACCCTCATCTTTTCCGGTGGCGAAATCGGAACCGACTATTCGTACGAAACCCAAATATATCAAGGCGATCACCTAGCAGGGCCTTCCAACTTAAAAACAGGAGATGTATCTGACGACAAGGCCGTCAATGTATACGTCCAACTTTTTGAAGGTGCGTCGTGTATCAAGATTTTATTGTCAAGCATATTAAAGACGCGTTTACTCAGACATGCTCACGACTTTGGTAGAGACTGAGGGTCATTTATTCGACCTTTCAGAACTCGATTACGTCCAGAGATACGACAGACTTTCTCGTACGTTTACTTTTTATATATTTATAAGCTAGCTCAGTGATAAATAGCAAGTGCAAAGTTTCTTATGACGAAGCTTCTCCTGCGAAAGTTCAATGCATGGCACCGTCTAGACTCGCTCAAATATGAGGCTGAAATAGGCAGCAAAGAAGGGCTTATTCAAGCTATCGACGAGATATGCTTTATACCAGGTCAAATGAAGGTGGACCCTATAGACGAAGGGGCCGTCAAGATGAGCGTAGAAACAACAGACCTCACGGATGATGTCTTACCACCACCTTCCTTGCCTTCACACATTCTTCAACCTCAGGAATTACCTGCACTACAGTACAGACCACCACCCGCACGCTTCAATATCAAGACTGAGGAAGTCCCAACACCCCTACATACAACGCTCTCTGCTGCAAATGTTATTGCTGGTCCCTCTTCTATAAAACTCGAAGACCTTCCTACGGCTGAAACCAAGCTTATGAACTATGTCGAAACACTCCCAGAACCTGCAGGCATCCTAGCGGAAGACGAATCTCAAATGGACCTTCCTGCTCTTCTTGAGTGCCTCAGAGTCGACGAACTACGTTGCATCGCGAAGCAAATGCGCGTCAAAGCTAGTTCAAAAGTGCGTCCTCATAGTCCTTGTCACATCTTGTTCTGATATTCCAAATACAGCCCGATATTATACGCGCCCTTCTAAAAGATTCATGTACACAGTTAACTCTAGTATCATCATTCGCCTGCGTCACGACGACGTCCAAGATTCGATCGGCATCCAAAATCGAGTTCACATCATCAACACCCGTTTTTCAACAAACAACCCTCCCTTTTGGTCGCGAGACAGCCCAGAAACGATTGCGCGATATTGTTCTCGGCACACTCGGTAAATGTGTGCGTGTACATGAGGGTTTTCACCGGTTTGTGCGGCGGGCAAACATAGTTTATTTCAGGCTGTGCGTTCCCTCTTCGCTTTCGGCATTTTCCTATGTCTTTTCGTTTTTTTATGTAAACCGCAATCTAACTCATAGTGTAGGACTCAATCTTCCCAGAGTCTTCTTCTGCCCGCCCTACTCTCGCGGTTTAAGAAGCGCGCCTACGCCGACATATCCTCCGCACGTACGAAGGATATCTGGCCTACACGTGATGCTCTTCTCGCCTATGAAAAAGCGCTTGAGCAAGAAGAACTTGTAGATGCCGTGTTCGCCGGAAACTTTGCAGTAGCGGGAGCTGAGAGGGAATTCAAAACTCCAGCGGTAGATGAACTTCGATTCAAGACGCCAGTAACGCCAAGTACTGTGCATGGGGCACTGCAGACACCGATTTCTACGAAGACTGTGCGAACCTCTGTGTCAAACACCTTTGCGACGCCTGCTTCAAGTAGCAAAGACAACCCATCTAGATCTAGTCCGTCTGTCAAGACTGAAAAACCAGATTCTGTCCGTGTACGTGGGGCACGACTAGTTAAAGAGATCTTCGAGGAAGTGTACCCGCACTGGCAGGCTCTGGTGAAGTTGAAGAACGAAGGTGGTCTTGAGGGGACAGAGAGGGGGTATGGATTGGAGAGATTTGAAAGCGGTGTGTATATTCCATCGAACATATGTACCCAGTTCTGTGACGTTTTTTGTAGGGCACGTCTTAACTCGCCTCGTTTGTAAAGGCGCACATGCTCTCAGTATTCTCGAAGAATACGAATATGAACTCAGTGTTATTGAGTCCCTGCTCGCGCAGAGGCGGTGGCGCCGCGGACGACGGGGAAGGTGGCATGAACGCCGAGCGTTGATTCTAGAGAGATATGTAGCCAGAGATGATGATGCGCTTTCAGCGTGTCTCGATGCTCTAGAAGACGATGATACGCATATTGGTGGGTCGGGATTTGGAAGCTAGCTGTCGCATCTTGACCAACCACTGGATAGTCTTTCGTCCCAAACTTGACCGCCGCTTGACAGCTCTTGAGAAAAAGCTCAAAGTTGTGCCCGCAGATCGACATACGAGCGAATGGAACCTCCAACCCCCTGTATTTGTCGCCTTTGAAGGAGTACGCGTGCGCCATCGTGCAGCGAGTTTAAAACTCGACCGTTCTGGGCGAAGCATCAACGACACTCTCAAACCAAAAGTCTCTATCGCTCAGGCAGGAGACATCACTAAATTTTTGTCGCCAAAAAAACCTGGCTTTACAAAAGTGGATGAGACGCCTGTCTCGATTAAAGCCGAGGTGAGTCCTTGTATTCTTGGCGGAAAACCAAAAATCGACCTGTTTCTAGACTAGGGAACGGAAAGAGGAGAAAGGAAAGTCAATCTGGGTTGGACGAGATAACCTAGAAGTGAATGTTGAGACACTCGCACTGCAATGGTACGAGGATCAGGGGTTCAAAGGGTATGTATATCTCTCGCCTTTGTTGCCTTTCACTCTCATGATCGTTCAGTATACACTCAGAAACTAGAATAATTGCTACCCTCTTTGGTATTCTCTTTTGGGATATTATCTTCCTCCCCATTCCCGGTGCCTTTGAGACGCCTTTCCAGACTGCCCCGTTGGATATTGCTGAAGACTCATTTTATCATGCTCGGCGAGACCCCATCGAAATAAGGCTCAAGGAACTCGAGGACGGACGAGGAGAGGAAATAGTGAAGCAAGTAGAAGCAGAACATAGAGCGCGCAAGACATGGTGCGTAGGCGTAGATTGGGATTTGGTAGAGGAAGGCGAGATCGTAGAAATAGTTCGTGTGAGTGCACGTTCCGTTTTGAGTAGGGTGGTAATTGACGCCGTTGTAGTGTCTTGGCGGGACGGCGCTGTCTGTGATATGCCATCTTCTTTGTGAAGACTATGCTGGGCGCTCTTCCGGCGGGCCGGATCTCTTTCTGTGGAATGCGGATACGGGAAAATGCAAGTTCGTCGAGGTCAAGGGCCCAGGTGATACTCTTCAGGAAAATCAAAAGGTCGTTATCAGCGAGCTTCTTGCATGTATCTCATCTGACTTTCTTGAACGCTACAGCTCTGGATCGACGTCCTTCTCCGAGCTGGAGCAGCAGTGGAGTTGTGTTCAGTTCACGAACAGGGCAAAAAGGACGAGCACAAGACAGGGAAGAAGGGCAAGTCAAAAGGAAGCATGAAGAAGCGGCGAGGCAAAGCCAAAGCCAAAGACACTATCGAATCCGACTCCGAAGAAGAAGAGGCTGTGCAGCGCATGTGCGAATCTGAGGATGATGCCGATGCTCTGCCCGTTACCCACATGGACGATATCCAAAAAGAAAAACCTTTTTCTAGATGCTCTACTCGCTCACGATCCTCTGCACACACTCCAACGCCTGCAGCTGCTGGTCCCGAATCATCAGCTCCCCCATGTTCGCGCCAGAAGCGCAAGGTCATCGCCGAAGTCGTTATTTCCAGTCCTAGCCCCAGGAAGAAGATCAAATTATCTCAGAATAGCGACCGCGCCGAAGTTTGAAAACTCTAATTATTATATCATGATCCCTTTTTAAATTATCTTTGCTTTTTTTTTACCCTATCTTTATTATTCCATTTACGTCCCAGTTTAACGTGTATTAACAATTCCGATATCTATTCATCAGATGCATCGTTGTCGAGGTGCTATAGTAAATAACCCGATATCATAAATAGTGGGAGAGGAATACAGTGAGTGCGGCCATACACGTGAGATGGGAATAAGGAGGCGATGAGTAGCACAATGCGATGAATGATTAATAAAATGTAAAAAAGTAACTCATGGGATGCAAATCGGAAAAGTACATCAATCATCCTTCTTGTGAGTAGGCGATTTTTTGCGCCGCAAAGAAGTGAACAGACGCATACTGCGCTTCGGCGAGCCCTGCCGTAGAGATGGCAGGTTGCGGCTGCTCTGCCTCCGCTCCGATAGATTGGTCTGCATGCGTCGCATTGCAACGCCACCCTCTTCCGTCGCAAAATCGAATCCGCGGTGGACGGAACGAATACCAGTGGACATGTCAGTTCGGCTCGCACAGCGCGGATCTTGCACTCTCCGTAAATCCAACGATAGATCATCGGCGCTGGAGCAAGTGATCGACGCCCGTGACATGTACGAGGACGGACGCTGTCTGGAAGGCACATACGGTTTGGAGCGCACCGGTTCACTCCGCAATGTTGTCAG